GCGGAGGCTGCGGGGCGCGCGGGGCAGCCTGGGGAGCCGAGGCCCGGGCTTAATGAGAGGCAGGCTGCATGGGGCCCGCGGGCCGCGGTCCAGGCGCTCTAACGTCTACTTGAGAAAGGAGGAGAGCCACCGGCGTGTCTGGAGCAGAGGGAAAGGGCCGACATACATTTCAACAAGATCACTCTGAGGACACGCTAGACAGGGTGAGGGACGAGGGCAGAGGCCACAGCAACACAGTAAGGAAACCAGCCTGGGGGACGGAAGCACGCGTGGTGAGCAGAGGTCAGATTCAGGGTGTGTCTTGAAGGGACAGCCAGAAGGAATTGGAGGCAGCGGTGAGACAAAGAAGGGAAGTCGGGGTAATTCTAGGACTGGCGGAGCCTGGGAGAGACAGCGTGTGAAGCGGAGCGCGGCGCTGGCGTGGCGGATGCCTGGACGAGCAGCGGCCGGGCCCGCAGAGGCGCTGCGACAGCCCTGGGACTTCTCACAATCAGACGATGACGCTGAAGCCCAGAGACAGCACTGTACGGAATCAAGGTCAAGCAGCAGATAAAAATAAAAAGACTGGCAGGAGGGAACGAGGGTACAGAGAAATTATATATCATGAATTGGAAGTAGAAGCAGACAGTAACCTTTTTAAGAAATTTCTTCAACAAAGCCTGACAGCCTGAGAACACAAAATGCAAACAGAAGAAATTACAGGCAAAGCAGACTATGGAAAATTAGAAGGGGAGAGATGCTGAAAATGGCAGGGACTGCAGTTCCTGCAAGGCTGACTAGGAGAAGCAACGTGAAGAGGAAAACAAGCCAGATGGGGAACCTCGGCCTGGAGGGCCAGGTGAGATCTGAGACAAGACCAAGCTCACGATTCACTCAAAATAAAGACGGAGGACACAAAAAGACACAGGAAGAACTGGTGGCTGGGGCAGAAAAGTGAACACAGAATTCTGAGATGCTGAGCATGGAATAAAGGCCGGTGGAGTTGAGAATACTGAGTTTCGGGAAGTAGAGGAGAACTCTATAAAAGCTGACATCCTAAGGCCCGCACACTAAGGGGGCAAGGAGACGGGCTGGGTACAGAAAACCTCAAAGAAAGGAAACGGGAGAAATAAAACAGCTGAAGGGGCATGTGAGAGAAGGAGCAGCAGTGTCCAGAGCCAAGGAGAGGCCTGGTCTGCGTGAGCCAGAGCGGCTCCAGCAAAGACGCTGACCCGCAGCCCACACTCCACACACTGGCCTGCGCCAGGGAACCTGCACTCCCTTCCCAGGACAGACAGACAGGGGGCGCTCCCGGCCCCTGCGTGACTTTCCTTGGGTTACATTCCAATTATTTCACCATCTAGACATACTCAGTTCATAAAGAGATTCTGTGATTCGTATTACATTCCCAAAACAGTATCAGTGAAAACACGTACTTCGTAGGCTGCAGAAGTGCCCACCAAGACTGACACACAGGTCTGCGGGTCACCCCACTCGCCGCAGGCCCGAGTCCGCCCCCTTTTGTACGTAACCAAGAGGGCGCGCTCTCAGGCAGGACTTCTCGACTCCACAGCTGACGCTCTGGGTGGGTGATCTTTGTTGGGGGCCATCCTGGGCGCTGTAAGGTGTTCAGCAGCGTCCCTGGCCTCTGCTCAACGGACCCCAGCAGCACCTCCCAGGCAGCACAAGGGAACTGCTTCCAGACACTGCCAAATGTCCCGTGGGCGCATATCACCCGGGGTGAGAACCACTGCTTTAAGGAGACGGGCACACAGCAGCCAGGAATGACTGTCGTTCTCATGTAACTAAGCACTCAAACACGCACACCAGAACTTGTGAGCAACCTAGGAGAAAGAGGGGGAAAGGAAGGCAGGCGCGCTCAGGGGCACGACGGTTCCTACCAGAAAAGCTTTCCAGCCTGCGCTTCTCCTCCCCGGATGTAATGCGTTATTTCTTTGGTGAAATTCCACTCTTCTTCTAAGAGATTTTTTAAACTATGGGATGCTTGAGGTAATTGCTGTAGCATTTGGATCCAGCTTCTCATGTAATCAAAATATACCTTAAAACACAAAAACGTAAAAGGAGATACTTGAGAACAGGATTCAGCAAGTGACAACCTTCACCTCTGTTAACATGAAAGCTGTGAGCCAGAGGGCAACGGACGAGGGGCCACTGAGGCAGGCAGCTCCCAGAGAAGTGTCTCTCCATCACTGTTAACTGACGTCCAAATAGGATTTTTCCTAAACTGTGTAACTCTCCTCCTCGGCAACTTAACACATATGCACAGCCCCTGCAAGGTACTAAGAGAATAACTACACTGTACAGAAAAGTACAGTGAAGTTAAAAAGACAAAAATCACAGCACACGGAAATTTTCGTTACTAATATATTATGAGTATTATTCTTTGAGAGGTTGGGATCTCTACTTGTGGAATTACTTACGTTAATTTCAGACGGTATCTTACGTGTGACGAAGAAGAAACGAGCTCACTTCTTCCCACCATGTCGTCCCAACATCCAGATTCTTGTGATGCAATTTTTCAAGGCTTATGACATATAAATTATGACCAATAACCAAAATGCCCATCCTCCTGAGGCGGGCGCACCACAAGTCCTCTCACAACAGTTTTCCCTGTATTAAGTTCTTATTCTGATGTATCTGATGTTGCTTAGTAGGGTCTGACTATCAAGCAGTTTTTTCCAAGACCGGTTCACAACTGTAATATTATAAAACATCACTGTCTGTGGATTCTTTTACTGAAAAGATAACTTGACTGGGTATGAAGTATCTGAGTTACACATCCTCTGCCTCAGAAGCTGTAAGTAACGTAAGACGTTATTCCACTGCCTTCTCACGCCGCGTCATGTGAGTGTGAAGAGATGCGGCACCAGGCCAACCCCCACTCTCTCTGCTCCCTGGAAGGGGCTTCCTTTCTCTGCTCAGATGTTTACAGGACTCTTTCTCCGGTCTTGGATTTCAGTTACTTCACCAGGCTACATCTCAGGTTCACTGAAATGAATGTTTTGAGATACAAAAGTAACTTCCAGTAGGCAAGTATTTGGGTCTTTAGTTCAAGAAAACTGTCTCTGTTGTATCCTTGGATGCTTCTGGTCCTCCTCCTCCCACAGCTGAGTGTGTGGAACCTGCAGTTGGTGGGTCCACCCCCGTCTTACCCAAGGGAACAAGCCTCTGGCACACCAGGCCCGGGCCTCCCCCTCCGTTGCGGGGGTGCTCCGTCTCCTGGGCGTCCCTGAAACCTGGCTTCTCCCCGACCACCTCTCAAGGGGCAACGTTCCTGCAACAGATCTCAAGGGCTGCAGCAGCAGCACCCTCGTGCCCCACTGCTGCTTTCAAGCCCTTGCTCTGACACAGTCTTATTTTAAAACAAAACTGAAGAAACACCATGTCCCTTTAAGACTTGTATCATCAGATACACCATTGACGCCACCCCTCCACTATCACCTGCTGATTTTCAACCGCTCCTCGTCAGTCGTCACACTCCAGCATCTGGTTTGGTCCTCTGTCCACCCGAGGCTCAGCACCACGCTGTGTGCCTTCACGTCACCCAGATGGCCCCCGCGCCATTCCAGTTCCGCTCCGGAGGCGTCACCTGTGACCTTGCCACTGCCCTGACTGCTCACAGCCCAACTCAAATGCCTGGAGGCTGAACCTCCTCTCCTCCTCCAGCTCCCTTGTTCAGCCACCACCTCCACCTTGTCCTCTTCTCTTTACCTGCACCTCCAGTCCCTGGGCTCCTCTTCTTTCTCCAATTCCCTCCTCTCCTTCCTGGCTCACTTCTCTCCTTACGCAGCTCAGAGTCCAGGCGTCCACCCTTCAACAGCACTCCCATCGGTCCCTGCCTCCTGTGTGGCCTCCTCACCCAGCCACCAGCCGCTGTCACAGCCCTGCAGCTAGGTACCCGGCTCCCCTCCCCGCGCTCCACAAGCGTCCCACGACAGGGAGGAGTCACTGCGCCACGCAGCCCCAACCCCAACCAGCACACAATGCTTCTGGTAATATCTCTGCCTCTACACAACTCATTTCCCTCTCTCGATAACCACAAGTTAGCAACTTTTCCATTTTCCTCAAACTGCCATAACCCACCCTAACCCCTTCTCAGCAAATGATCTCACCTCTCGTCACAAAAAAAGAGAAGTCATTAGATACAAAAGCTCTCACTTTCCTCAAACAACAAATGCAGACCTACATCCTGTTACCCGCGGTCCGCCCCGCTCTGGCAGCAAGGGGGCCGCGCGCCCGCCCAGTCCCAGCGCTTGTGCTGAGACCGTCGCCTCGTGGCGTCCGAGCAACCCGACACTATCAGTGTTCCCTTTCCTCTCATGTACGTCTACGTAACTTTTTTCATCTCTTTCTCTTAACAGAATCAATACTAGAGACTTTCAATGGTCTTGGGCATCTTCAATTTTAAAAACTCTCATCGGACCCAGAGTCGTCACTATTCACTTCACTGCACAAGGGGAGAGCCAGCAACCACTCTCGATAACCTCCCCCGAATCCAACCCATCCCCAAATCCTGCCAACTTCACTTTCAGTGTTTCTTCTGAATCCTTCCACTTCCTTCTAACTTACATTATACCAACCCAATCCGAGGACCAGCACGCGCACCGCTAGACCGGACTCCGCCGGCTCCCGCACAGGCTCCGGACCCCGCAGCCTGCTCTTCCAACTGCAGCCGCAATGGCCCTCCCACGGCTTTCTTGCGAACCTTCGTTCCAAAGCTGCTTCCCAGCACAGAGGCTTTGCACCCGCTACCTTCTCTGCCAGGAAAGACATTCTTTCAATCTCTCCCTCTTTCGTTAATCAGAAAGTAAAGTGGCTTTAAAATATTTTAACAAATATCTCCCGGAATGAACAAATGTTAGTATTCAGTCATATTGCCTTTGGATAGCTTTTTAATAAGATGTAATCCACCACAAAGTTAACTTCTCCTTGGTTTCTTTCTTCATTTCTCTCTTTCCTCCCTCCTCAGAGGCAACAATGATGCATTTAGTATGTTGCCTTCTACTTCATGTTTTTAAAAATAATCTATTATATAAATTATAAAATAGTATTGTCTTGTGTAAGTTTTCAAACTTCTTACATAAATTGGACTGTAGTATACACACAACTTTCAGATAAATTCCAAGTGTCCCTTCCTGAGAGAAGCCTTCCCTGACCGCCACGCGTGCTCCAAACCCCCGTGGGGTCCACGGAAGACCCGAGCCTCTCCTCTGCTGCACTTCTCACCGTTGTAATGTTATGTCTGTACAATTACTCAATAGCCATTTCCCCTTCATTCTTAAGCTCCAAGAGGGAGTGTATGCTTTTTCCTGAATCTTCAGCACCTGGCATGCCTGCCTGGCACACAGCAGACACCCAATAATATCTCCAGGATGGAAAACTGAATCTTTTCTGCCCCTCTGCCCTTTATTCTTCTGCAGGAACAGGAATTGTATGCATCTGAGCTCCCCGTCGTATGCCTTCTACAACTACCACATCCTGTTCATCATTCTCATATTTTCATTCCTTTTAAATTATTTTTGTGTGGTTTCCTTAAATCCATCTATCACGTGCTCCTCCATCATATATTATTTTGTTGTTTTGGTTAATTCTAAGGCCAGGGCCAGGGCCAGGGCAATGAGCTAAGAGAACTCACAGCTTCAGTCTGGCTTTGCTGGCTCAAATACTCGCTAGTTGCTTCCTTGGACCCACATCCACAAGTCCCTCAGTGCTTCCAGCCAGAAGGCTGACGCAGCGCAGGGTGAAGACCCTGCAGCCACAGTCAGGCTGCACCGCACCCTGCGGGGCACTGCCTCCCCTCAGCCGTACAGCCTGCTCCTCACTCGGCAGTCTTTCCCTGCTCGCAGGGTGAGCCGCAGACAAGAGAAGTGTCTCCACTTGTGCCCCTCTGTCCTGCAGCGTGTCCTCCACGGGGCACCCCTGCTCCTCTCCTGAGTGTCCACACCCTGGGATGTCACAGCTCTAATTCACCCCTGGAGGGCCCTCCACCCCTCAAGCTGGGAAGAGTGCTGCTGTAAACAGTGTGACTGCCTAGCCAAAGGCCACTCCCTCCTTCCCGCCTAACAAACACACTGACTTTGTTTGGGTCCCCCAGTTCTCAAAACATCCCCTGCACTTACCCATCTAGCACATTTTGGGGCACAATTTTATAAACCACTGATACTTTCTAGTTCTTCACCTGTGAAACGACGGAGATGAACTAAGGGACGCTGTGCTCACACAGGTAACTGCCAGCAAAGCCAGAACCCAGTCCCGAGCATGGCCGGCTCTGACCAGCTGAGATTTGGGGACTTCGCTTAACCTCGGCTTCAGAAATGAAAATGGATGAACTAGAAGGCACATCTTGCCTGCCTCATTCTCATCCTTCCAGCTTCAGTGATTAACATGATAAAAAGGTGTGGCATGTGCCTTTGTAAAGCCATCTAAGACCCCTGGAAAGCAAAGCACGCTGTCTTTTTAAATTTCTAGTTTACTCATCCACAGAGAGCAAGAAAAATTAATTTTCTTGCTGTTTTTTTATCATAACTCTTCAATGATAAAGAGTTTTCTGACATAAGGAGCATACATAGTATTTCAAAATACGTTCACATTTTACACATTCTGGACTTTCATGTATTCTCCCAAATGATTGGGAAGTAATTTCAGGCTCAAAATTATTTCTTAAAGTGTGCCACGTATAAGTCCCCTTCCCGGTCACAGTCTTCTTCCCATCCTTCTGCTAGAGGCCGAGAAGTGGAATCTTTGAATCTCTAGCTTCCATTAGAGCTAAGAGGCCATGTGACAGATCTGGTCAGTG